CAGGGGACACTACACCTGTCCTGGGCAGGGTCCACTTGTCACAGACTGATGGGAGGAGACCAGGGGACACTACACCTGTCCTGGGCAGGGTCCACCCTCAGAGGACCTGAAAAGGCATCGTCTTAGTCTGTGTGGAAGGCAGGACATATGATGTCTATCCCAGGCAGCGTTCACCTGTGGTGGACATGAGAGCACTATCTTAGACCTGCACAGGAGACCTGCAGGGTTCACCTGTAGCGGACCCGATAGGGCACCATCTTAACCCTGCGTGGGAGAAGGGCACGCTGTATCTGTTCCAGGCAGGGTTCATTCGCAGCAGACCCAGGAGGGCACCCTTTCGGCTGTGTGGGAAAACAGGGCATGTCACACCTGTCTCAGGCATGGTTTGCCCATGGTGGACTGGAAGCACATGTCCATCATGAGATGTCCTCTGAGGACAGGGGGCTCAGCAGTGCTGCCTCATGGGTCAGGAATATCTGTTAGTGTGTGTTAGCTCCCTGGGCTCCAGGTGGCCCTGGTCAGGACAGCCCTTGAGACGGTGGATGTCATCCAAAGCCGAAGCCTGTGGATGACTCGGGGTGCGAGCCATTGGGCAGGCACGACAGAGTCTCCTCAGCATGACCTGAGCAGTGGCAGCCTCACACAGAAAGTGCTGGAACTGAAGCCCCACAAGCGTGGTGGATGGCAGGGAGGCGCTGAGTCAGGGTGACTCTGCCTGGTCCTTCCTGCGAGGGGCCTCACCCTCATTTCCCCTATTGGGGATGCCGCTCACACCCTGGCCACTGGGACTCTCCAGTGAGCACATGGAGGAAGCTGGCCAGTGTTCCCAGCCTTGGGGTGTTTCCTGAATGCCCCTCCTTTGGGTGACACCCCTGCCCTGAGGCATCTTCCCTACTGATGACAGTGTTGGAGACAGCAGGTAAGAACCACATCGCCATCAGCACCTGACTCCTGTGTTAGCTGCAGGGCTGGGCTGCCTGGGTGGAAGGCAGGCTGGTAGGAGTTTGCGCTGGGAGTCCTGGTGAAGTCCTCCAGAGATGGTAATTTCTTGGCTGGGCTTTGCAGGAGGAGTAGGAGCTTCCTGGGTGTGACATGCAGAGGGGAATTGTCATCACACATAGGTGCAAAAAGCAGGCTCAGGTAGAGGGAGCCACGGAGGCTGGAGAGGGAGCTGTGGCCAGGTGAGCCCCAAGGAGTGAGCAATGAGAGGTCAGGCAGGGGATGGCATGGCCACCTGGAGCTGCAGGGGGGCTGCTGAGTGGACCACAGTCTGGGGCCACATCTCTCTCTGTAACCATTTCCGGCCTCCACCTGTGACATCCTGGGACACATGTCAACCTGGTCTCACTCGACCAGGGCTCATGGCTAACCAGGGGCAACCTAACAGCTGTGTGTGTCCAATCCAGAGCCGAGGGAGCCCCTCATGGAGAGGGGAGCATATGCCAAGTCCCCCTGTGGAAAGAGAAGCTCAAGCTGCGTCCCTCCCCCTCCCCGTGCAGAGGAAACACGGAGAGGGAAGCCGAGCCCCCCGTGGAGAGGGAGCATGGGGTATCAACACCAGCCTTGGTAGCCCGGTGGTGGAATTACCACCTTGTCCGCAGGGCCCAGGTCAGTTCCAGTCCACCTCACGCACAGCCACCACCCGCGTGTCAGGGAGGCTGCTTGTTGCTCTGGTGATGGGCCAGCTTCAGTGGAGCTTCTAGACTAAGAAGGACCAGGAAGAAAGGCCTGGTGACTTCCTGCCGAACATGGATCATGACACACCCAGGCCTCTCCTCACGGACTTCCCAGTTCTCGGCTGCCCAGAAATGACTACAGCATCCAGCTCTGCACTCTGTCAGCTTTTATTCCCGGCTTCCTGGGGACCACACAGACAGCGCTGTAGTGGGGAGACGGGGTTTCCAGTATCTCAGACTCAGATGCTAAGCAGCCCCTCCCTGGCCAGCCGCTCCAAGAGGTGGTAGAGTGGGTGTGTTTCAGGGACACACACTGGGGACGGCCTCACAGGAGATCAGGACAGGGACAAGGTGACACGTGATGTGCCTACAGTCTCCCCGTGTAGCCCACAAGCACCGAGGCAGGAGGCACCCTGCTGTCCCCACTTCAGCACAGACGTGGGGGCAGTGGGGGGTCAGCAGCAAGGTCCTCGCCTTCCAGGTGGAGGTGAGGGTTCAATTCCAGGACAAGGCATCTCCCGTGGACCCTCCGTGTCCTCCGTGGAGGCTCACGGGTCACTGTGATGCCAAACGAATTCCAGCAGAGCTCCCAGATGAGGAGAGATTAGGAAGAAATGCCTGGCGATCAGCTTCCAAAACCCAGCCACTGACAGCTGTCTGGACCAAAGTGGCCTGCTCTGCACTAGTCACGGGGATCAAGTGGGCAGAGTTTCACCATCGGGGTAGACTCATTGGCAGTGACCAACACGCGACAAGAATGGCAGAGGGCACATGTCCTCAAGGGGTGAGGGGACAATCCCCACTCCTGGAGGTGAGGGCCTCGTGGGGCGAGGGGACAGCCCCCGCTCCTGGAGGTGAGGGCCTCATGGGGCGAGAGAACAGCCTCTGCTCCTAGAGGTGAGGGCGTGGATGGAGGCAATGCCAACCACCCTCCTTTCCCTTGAGAGGCCACCAGGGTGATGCCACAGGGGGTGCACTGGACATGATGTTGCACAGAGGCTGGGCATGTGGACACCTGCGTTCCGATCTTTGCTGTCATGGAAGGGCACTTTCTCCTGACATTTGACAAGGAACAGGGTGGGGGACACAGCTGAACCCCGTGTGTATGCACAGCCAGCAGGACTTGGAAGAGCCCTCCCTAAGGTCACCTGTGTGACATGTGGAAACAGAAAACAGAAACGGGTGACGGGCACGGGGCCTGGCCGGACCACAGGACACAGGGGCAGGCATAAGGCTGAGGCGCTCAGAAAACTACACTCTGCATATAGTCTTGTGTCTAAGTAGCCTACAATTCTTAACAAAATAAAAGCTCTGGTAGGGCTCAGCGGTCTCACAGATGCAGCTGGGGGGCTCAAGGGAAGCTGGGGGCACAGGGAGCTGCTGGGGGGGCGAGGTGCCCACTCTTATCCGAGATAGTATCCATGTCACCCACCTGCCCTATCTCAGCAGCCCGGGGTACCCACACTTCTCTCTCGACCCTTATAACTCTGTGTCCACCACAAGCATGGGATGGATCGGGGGCTAGGGACACTCAGAGCTGTGTGTCTGTCCACCCATGAGCAGGCCTGGAATCTCGAGTCCCCGTCATCCTGGCCTGGGGGACCCAAGAGGAGCTGCAGCTGCCTGCGTGCAATCCACGCCAGGGCAGCACCCTCAGGGGTTTGCAGAACAGGGTTGGGGGAGAGCTCTGGGTCCCATTGCTGGCAGACATGGTCACCTGTGTCCCCAAGCCCAGCCCCCCGCAGCCACCGCCCGCCCAGTCAACAAGAAGCCAGAGGAAAGTGCAGAGGAGGCGGCCTCATGTGATGGGGTGGCCCGTCCCCAGCGCACAGCGCAGCCTCAGAATAGCAGAGCCTTCTTCTTCAGGTCGTTTCTCTTCCAGAGGGCCAGGCGGTCAAACGCGTCCACGCTCATCCCAAACACCTCCTGGAACTCCTCGGGGGACAAGTGTCTCTGCAACAAAGAGGAAGACCCGAGGAAATGGTCAGCAGGTTGGCAGTGAGGTAGTGTGGCCACCTGGGGTGATCCAGGGAGCATGAGGCAGTGGGGGGGTGACCACCTGGGGTGATCCATGGGTTGGGTCAGCATCAGTGATGTGGGGTGACAGTCCAGGGACTCCAGGTAAGAGATCTGCCTTATGGCAGCAATGTGGTGTCTGCCCAGGGCAGGGAGCCCCCTCCACGTGCGGAGTCCCCAGGCTCCCCGGTGCCTTTCCAGTGTGTAGACAAGGAACTAAGACCCTGGAAACCCAATTCCACTGGGGACGTTGATGGATGGGACACACAGTGACCTGTACTTACTGTGGGGTAACATAGAGTAATCTGTGGTCAGGAACAGGGAATGATCAGTGTTTAGGGGCAGATAGTGACCAGTTTTTAAGGCAGGGAGTGACCAGTGCTTGGGGCTATGGGATGCCCAGTGGCTGGGGACATAATGACCATTGTCTGTGGACAGGGGGGTTATTTCAGACACTGGGGGAGACAAGTGGCTACTCTTCTGTAAGCTGAAAGGGCAGACAGCTAGATAGCTCAGGGGGCTCCACCCAGGTGGATATCCCAACACTGGACACAGGAGTACAAACAAGAGTGTGAGGACAGGTGTTCACAGCAACACAAGGGCCCACAGTGAGAAGGTAGAGGTCACCCACATGTCCATGACCAGATAAACCGATCAACGTGGCTCACACACGGCAGAATGGCTGCCAGCCGTGAGTGGAAGTAACACCAGATCGTGTCACAGAGCACAGACCTGGAAACACTGCCTTCATGCAGGACAGGGCTCAGGGACAAGCCTGGTGTCCTCTCCCTTAACTGAGACAGGCCTGGAAACATCAGATGGGATGGGGCTCAGGGACACGGTGGGCACAGAACCAGAGGTGATCCACAGTTCGCCAGGTACAGGAAGGAGGGAGAAGAGTGAGTCTGCAGGTGCTGACAGTGCTGGGATCACGTGGAGCAGGGTAGGGAGGACCTCAAGGAGGAGCTCAGTGTCTCTGAATTGTATGTGTGGGAACACACGGACACACACACACACACACACACACACACACACACACACACTCTTCCCTGAGGTCCTGTGCCACCAGGTTCCCTTGCTGGGGATTCTCCTAACCGCCCACAGGCAGCCTCAGGCAGCCAAGGCTGGATGCTGGCTGGAGGCTGGCTCCCTTGAAGTGAGGCAGCCTCCCCCCCAGGTGTCCACTGAGGTCAGCTCTGGTGCTTTTCCGGAGCAGTAGGAAGGAAGGTCAGGGCACAGTCTATGCAAAGGATGTGGTCACCTTCCCGACAGCCTCAGGCCTCAAGTCTTAGACTGGTACACTGGTTTCCTGAGAAGCTGGACCTCTCCACAAACCCCAGGAGGCTGGCTGTGCCACCTATAAGGGGTCCACATGACTGCTGGATGCCTGCTGTCCACACAACCTCCCTGGCAGGACAGAATCCTGCAAACACCCCGATACAGTAGTTATACACACTGCAGTACTGTCTCCCTCCCCATCCAACCAGATCGAGCCACTGGGCTGTAGTTTCTATATCTGTTAAACAGGAACATCACCCTTGACTCTGTTCACTCACCACCTCTCTCCTTAGAATGCTACCTTGTCATCTGTTCAGGTGACTCCTACCTACACTTCATCTTGGACTTAAGTCTCAACCATCCTAGGAAGTTTCTTTCCGCTTCCTGGCTCCCCTACAGTCTCCCTCCAACCAGGACTGTGTGTGTAATAGAAAATATTTGACAGCTGACTAAAGAGAAATACCTGGTTTGTGGTGTTTACCTATTCCCACAGTGGAAGTGCTCGCATATGGCTGATTTCAAGCTGCCAACCTGAAAGCAGAGTTAAGAAGAGACAGACCTCCCCATGGTGCATACAATGTTCCCAATGCTCAGATAGAAGAGCATGGTGTGATACAATGTAGCACTCAGATGCAAGCAGCTCAGTGATACATTGTAACATTCCGCTATCCCAGTGCTCCATTATACAGCATGGCATTCAGATACAGGTTTTCTGTGATACAATGTTTCTAACATTCACATATAAGAGATGTACACCCTTAGAAGCATAGATAGCAGCATTATTGTTATGTGCTATCAAGTTGGAACTGACCCATAGCTGATTTTCCATTGGGTTTTCAGAGGCAGTACATTGCAAGGAAAGAGATTGCCCATCTAGTGGATCCAAACTGAGTACCTTTGAATTGGCAGTGCAACTCCCTACCACTAGGCCACCACAGCTCCCTAGATGAGAGTACCAAGAAGTAAACAAGAAAGAAGGACTGAGTTTTGAATATTTATGATGTGTGTTAGAACTACAGTGTATTCAATTGTAATGACTGTGTTAAAGCTTAAGCTTGCAAATTTCCTAAAAATGAGCAATCAGCTTTTGTGACATAGGAAGCGTACTTTGTCAGGTACCACACTGAGCTGGAACCACCCTCAGGTCAAGGCTGGCCCCCGGGGTCATGGGGCGGGGACCAGTGTCCTACACAAGAGGAGCCGGAAGAAGGACTTCCAGCCTCATAGAGCAGGTGAGGGCTCAGGTGGTCAACTCAAGGGACAGATTGAAGGCCTTTGCTCCACCACCATGTCCAGGTGCTTAAGTCCACCCAGGGTGTCACAGAGGAAAGACCTGGGACACCGGTCACTGAGAACACAGTGGCCACATTGCACTCTGACACACACAGGCAGCCAGGGGCAGGACTGACTCAGCAGTGACTGCCCACTGGCTTGGTCACCGCAGCCTGTCACAAAGGTGTGCAAGCCCTGGCCCGTCCCTTTGGACGTGAGCTCGCTTAAGGAAGCCATGCATTCTGTTGGAGACATCATTCTGGAGCAGTGTGAGTCCTAGACCTAGCCCACCTGTCACCCCCTTCCTCCTGGGACCCACCACCTGCTCACACTCCCCACTGAGGCCCCTCACGGCCCTGGCCTTCCAGTTTGCTGCCTGTCCTGCCCACCGTCCCCTCCCAGCACCACACTGTTCTTCAGCCTCACAGGACTGCATAGGGTCCCTCAGTCCTGGTGCAGACCCACCCCTGCCATGTGAACACAGCATGGACTTCTGTGCTATGTGCCCCCGCAGACAGTGTGCAGCTGTGGTGCAGAGCTGCAGGCTGGTCCGTCCAGCTGGGCGGGCCCAGACAAGGGCAGCATTCTTCACAAGACTTCCTGACACATTCCAGCTGGCTGGCCTGCTCAGGTGTGTCCGCCTCAGGGCTTGGGGGAGGGCGCTCAGGAAAACCCCAGCTCCATCACAGCCATCTCTGCACCCCCAGCTGCCTCTGCCCCCCCAGCCATCTCTGGACCCCCAGCCTCCTCTGCACCCCCAGCCGTCTCTGCTCCCCCAGGCCACCTCTGCCCCTCCCAGTCACCTCTTCCCTCTTCAACTATCTCTGCCCCCCTCAGCTGCCTCTACCCCCAGCCGCCTCTGCCCTTGCAGCTGTCTCTGCCCACTCAGCTACCTCTGCCCCTCCCTCAGCCATCTCTGCCCCCCTCAGCCTGTCTCTAAGAAGTGCCTGGACACTGAGTTCTGAGTAGCCTCTTCCAGTGGCTGGCAGGAATGCTGCCCAAGTGTCTGGTCCTGTGCACCCCCCTCCCCCAGCAACGTTGCTTTCCCACTAAAAGAAATGTGCATGGTAGGGGGCAGGGCACGGCGTCAGTGCTGCTGCTGTTAGGTGACATCAGTCAACGTCAACTCCTCATGATCCTGACATAGCAGAACCATCTCTGTCCTGCACCAGCCTCACCATTGCTGCCCTGCTCGAGCCCGCTGCGGCATCACCATGCCACCCACCTGCCTGGGGGTCTGTCCCTCACTGACCCTCCACCGTTTTCAGCACCATGTCTTTCCAAGGACCAGCTTCTCCTGAAGACAAGCCTCAAAATGTGTGAGAAGTTTCCCCATCCTCACCTCCAGGGAGCACACTGGCCACGCCTCCTCCAGGGAGCACTCAGGGCACTCCTCCTCCAGGGAGCACATTAGCCACACATCCTCCAGCGAGCACTCAGGCTGCACCTCCTCCAAGGAGCACTCAGAGCGTCCCTCCTCCAGGGAGCACTCAGAGCGTCCCTCCTCCAAGGAGCACTCAGAGCGTCCCTCCTCCAGGGAGCACTCTGTAGACACCTCCTCCAAGGAGCACTCAGGCCGCTCCTCTTCCAGGGAGCAAGCTGGCCACACCTTCTCCAAGGAGCACTCATGCTGCTCCTCCTCCATGGAGCACTCAGGTGGTCCTTGCCTCCAGGGAGCCACTGGCCGCACCTCCACCAGGGAGTACTCAGGCCACTCCTCGCCTCCAGGGAGCACTCAGGCTGCACCTCCTTCAGGGAGCACTCTGGCTGCACCTCCTCCAGGGAGCACTCCGGCTGCACCTCCTCCAAGGAGCACTCTTGGTACTCCTCCTCCAAGGAGTACTCTGGCCACTCCTCCTCCAGGGAGCACTCTGGCTGCACCTTCTCCGAGGCAGCTTTGTTTGATCTTTGGCATGCACGGGCTGTTCAGTGTTCAAAGGCGTTGTTCTTCTTCAGTCTTCCTTATGCCTTGTTCAACTCTCACATGAATGAGGCGGCTGAGAGTCCCATGGCTTGAGCCGGGTGCACACTAGGCTCTGAATGACCTCCTTGCTACAACTGCCTTCTGAGTAACTGCATTCCTGAGATGGGGCCCCTGGAACAGCAAACCACTGAGGGCAGATACCCCAAATGGAAGGCCACAAGGCCCTAAGAAAGGGGGTTCTGCGATGCTGACCACCCCTTAGTCAGAGAGCAGGTTACTGTGGGAAGGGCCTCAAGGCCCAGGACAAGAAGGTGGCCCCTGGTGACCTGTGCCCACCTGCCCCACTGGCCTAGACTGTCCTGCCAGGGTCAAGGGAGGTACTGGGGCTCCTCCCCACTAAGATACCTGTGTTAACTGACCACCGACTGTATACTGAGCAGTAGCCGGGCTCAGTGGTCAGCAC